TTTACTTAAGATTGCTTTGGCTGTACGTGGTTTTCTCTGGTTCCATACAAAGCGAAGAATTATTTTTTCTAGATCTGTAAAGAATGCTGGTGGTATTTTGATGGGGATTACATTGATTCTGTAGATCACCTTAGGTAATATTGAAATTTTAACAATATTGATTCTACCAATCCATGAACATAGTAGATTTTTCCATCTGTTTAAATCATCTGCAGTTTCTTTTTTTAGTGTTTCGTAGTTCTCCGTATATAAATCTCTCGTTAAGTATACTCCTAGGCATTTAATTTTCTTTGGGGCTATAGTAAAGGGTATTGCATTTTTGATTTGAGTTTCTGCTTGGTGGTTCTTGACATATATGAATGCTTCCAATTTGTGTGTATTGATTTTATACCCGGAAACTTTACTGAATTCATTTATCAAATCTAGGAGTCTCTTGGAAGAATCCATGGGGTTTTAAAAGATATAATATCATATCATCAGCGAAGAGTGAGAGTTTGATCTCATCTGCTCCGACTTGGATGCCCTTAATACCCTCTCTTGCCTGATTGCTATGGCTAGGACTTCGAGCACTATGTTGAATAGGAGGGGAGAGAGTGGGCATCCTTGTCTAGTCCGGGTTTGAAGAGGGAATGAATTCAATTTTTCCCCATTTAAGATGATATTAGCAGTTGGTTTGTCATAAATGGATTTGATAAATTTAAGGTAAGGACTGTCTAGGCCTATTTTGTTAAGGAGTTTTTATGATAAAAGTATGTTGGACTTTGTCAAATGCTTTTTCTGCATATATTGACAGAATCATATGGTCTTTGTTCTTGCTTTTATTTATAAAGTGAATTGCATTTATAGACTTGCATATGTTGAACCAGCCTTGCATCCCAGGAATAAGTCCCACCTGGTCATGGTGAATTATTTTTTTGATGAGCTGCTGAATTCTATTTGCTAAAATTTTATTTAGGTTTTTTGCATCTATATCCATGAGGGATATTGGTCTGTAATTTTCTATTTTTGTTGCATTCTTTCCTGGCTTTGGTATCAGGGTGATATTGGCTTAGTAGAATGAGTTAGGCAGAATACCATCCTTCTCAGTGGTGTGGAATAGTTTCTGTAGTATAGGTATAAGTTCATCTTTGTATGTTTGGTAGAACTCTGAAGTGTAGCCATCTGGCCTGGGACTTTTCCATTTGGGGAGGTTTTTAATTACTGCTTCAATTTCTGAGCATGTGATTGGTCTGTGCAAGAATTCTATTCCCTCCTGGGTGAACTTAGGGAGGTTGTATGAGTCCAGGAATCTGTCCATTTCGTCTCATTCCGTAGTTTTTGGGCATATAGTAGTCAAACATAATGTTTTGTATTTCTGTGGAGTCTTTTGTGATTTGTCCTTTTTCATTTCTAATTGAGTTTATTGGAGTCCTTTCCCTTTGAGTTCTTGTCAGCCTAACGAGAGGGCCATCGAGTTTGTTAATCTTCTTGAAAAACCAGCTTCTGGTTTTGTTGATCTTCCATATAATGCTCTTGTTTTCCATTTCATTTAGTTGAGCTTTGATCTTAGATATCTCTTTTCTTCTGCACAAATTGGAATTGGTTTGCTCTTCTTTTTCCAATTCCTTGGGTATATTCATTAGGTTGTCAGTGTCTACTCTTTCTGTTTTTTGGATGTGAGCATTTATTTATTTTATTTTATTTTTTTTTGAGCAGATCCCGCTCTTGTGCCCAGGCTAGAGTGAGTCCCGTGGTCAGCCTAGCTCACAGCAACCTCAAATCCTGCTCAAGCAATCCTCCTGCCTCAGCCTCCCAAGTAGCTGGACTGCAGCATTCGCCACCATGCCCGCTAATTTTTTTGTATATATTAGTGGCAATTAATTTCTTTCTATTTATAGTAAGACGGCTCCGCCTCTGCTCACTGGTCAACTCCTGACCTCGAGCAATCCGCCCGCCTCGGCCTCCCAGAGAGCTAGGATTACAGGCGTGAGCCACCGCGCCCGGCAAGATAAACACTTACTTGGAATAATTTTCTACAAGATGTCATCTTTGTCATTGATCTTCCTAACTTAAAAAAAAAAAGATCTTTCATTAGAGAAGTTTTTATATACACAGAGAAACATGCAGTGATATGCCCCCCCAGTATACCTCTCACTCTTCTTCACTAACTGTCACTTGTCACCCTTATTTTCTTCATCTATTGCTACTCCTCTTCCTTTTGTTTTATTTAATTTTTTTGCTGTAGATTTTAAACCAGGTTCCAGATATTATCTCATTTCACAAGTAAATATGTTAGTATGTATCTCTAAGAGATAAATACGTTTAAAAAAACTAACTTCAATATTGTCATTACAATGAATATTACTCTTTGTATTCTCTGATGTTCAGTCCATTTTCAAGTTTCCATGATTATCTCAAAATTATCTCTTTTCTAATTATTGGTAGTCAAAACCCAAAGTCCACTTACTGCTTTTGGTTAATATTTTAAAAATTTATTTTAATCACTATACTGTGTAATTCTTTTTTTTTTTTTTTTAACCCATGCCATTTCTTTGTTGAAACTGGGCCATTTGTTCCAAAGATTTTTCTAAATTTTGGGTTTTGCTGTTGAAAATGAAAGAATAGAGAAAAAACGTCAGTCTCAGAAGAGATCCATGCTGCTGTCAGTGGAAAAACTCAAACTCTGTAAAATAATTTTAAGAGGTTTATTCTAAGTCAAATGTGTGTATCTGTGGCCAGGGGAAACATTCCTTCGAGGGGTCTTGAAAAAATGTGCCTTGCGGCTGAGTTGCAATTTGGTTTTTTATACATTCACAGAGATGGGAATTAATACATGGAAGGAATGCATTGGTTCTGCCAGAAAAGGCGGAGCATCTTGAAGCAGGGGTTTATAAATCATAGGTGGGTTTTAGGGATTCTTTAGTTTGCAATTAGTTGCAAGAGTTAACTTTGTTTAAAGACCTGGAGTCAGTAGAAAAGAATGCTTGAGTTAAGATAGAGGTCTCTAGGATGCTTGAGTTAAGTTAAGGGAGTCTTCTCTCTTTTTTGTGATGCTATATGGGAATCAGGCTAGGTAGTAAGCTGCATTATACTTGGTTAATAAAACCTTGTTAGTGAGATTTTATCGTTTGTAGGTATGACTCACCGGGCCTCTTAGAAAGGAATTTGGACTAAAGAAAAAAGGTCAGAGTTCATTCCTCACCACTGTTGTATTGCCAAGTGCTTACCTATAGTGGGGTTAGAGAAGGGCTCTTTGGAGTGGATTACTGAACAAAACAAGAAAAAAAATCCTTTCCCTTGTGGAATTTATATTCTACAGGAGGTAGACAATAAATAAAAATAAATTGTAAAATTTGTTGGAAATCCTCTAGAAAACAATAGGGCATAACAAGAGGATAGAGAGTTGTAGGACCTTGTTGGACATGTAAAATGTGTGATTGAATGCAGTGGGAGCAAGGGAGAGTGGATCAGAGGAGGAACAGGATCTGAGTTACATTTAAAAGGTTCACTCTGGCAACCATGCAGTGGGCGAAGGAGCAAGGATTAGAAGCAGGGGTCCTCTATAGAAAGTTACTCTGTAATCTAGGCAAGAAAGGATAGAGAGAGGATTCGACCAGGGGAGAGCCAGCCAGTGAGAGAGGAGGTAGGCATGAGGGCAAGGTTTCTGACTCTAGCTGCTGGAAGGACTGAGGAGGAAGGAGGGTAATGTAGAGGGTCTCCATCACAGACAGAGCCTGAATAGTTTGCCTCCATTTCTATTCACTATTCTGTTGGTGAAGAACTGGCAAAAACTGGTACTTTTTGAAGGTTGTGCTGATATGTTAAGGGCCTTTTGATTTTTTTTGAGTTGTTAGGTCCTTAAATGGTTCTTTTTCTTTTAAACTTTGTGAAGTGCTTTTTGTTTTGCAAATGTTTTGTTATTGAATGGCTTTAAACAATTGCTAATTATTAGACATTGAGCAATTTACAAGTTTGAATATTTAATAATTATATTTAACACTTTACTCTTGAAAAATTTCACAGCTACAAAATTTTTAAAGCCTTTTGACAGTAGGTTGCAACATCAGGAATACCCAAGGAATCTAACATTAATGCCATAGGATTATCTAATTATAATATAGTTCTTTTTGTATTTTTCTTGTTTTTTCCTTTTCATCCAGGATCTAGTCCAGGAGCACTACTTTGGTCATTCTAGTCTCCTTTAATTTGGACTAGTCTCCTTGCCTTTACTTTTGTTTTTTGCCATTGACATTTTTAAGGACACCAGGCCAGTTGTCTTATAGACTCTCCAATAATCTGCATTTGTCTGTTTCCTCATGATGAGATTCTAGTAAAAGCATGCAGGTGTACATTTTGCCTAAGAGTTGCAAATGTAAGCATATGGGAATAGTGTGGGTTTTACAAAGCCTTTTGTAAATACTGTCTCCATTTACTACAAAGTAGTAGCAAAACAATAAGCATTGTTACGTTGAAAGAAATTTTAGATTTTATCCCTGGAAGTCACAGACTGCAGAAAACTAGCAGATTAGGCAAAGTCTTTAAAATAAAACAGAAACAGGCTGCATTTTGACACCTTTAGATATGAAGTATGTTTTCAGATTTGACCTAGCCGCCAATATTTAAATCATATGTGCTGCCTCTGAGGCTTTTGAGCATGTGACCCCCATACCCATCTCTCTTATAATATGGCTAAAGAAACTTCAGTCCCAGAAAGGTTAAGTTGCTGAGGAACACATAATTAGTAAGGGACAGGTCAGGTCCTCAAACCTCAGTCTCTTGAAGACCCAGGTAATTTTCTACCAAAGCTCCATTGATATGCATTTATGGGACAAATATAACGTATAATATTAGCACCTTTAATGATTAAGGGAGGTGAAGGCATCAGGGATACCACAGAATGAAATTCTATCATAAATAATGTAGGTAGATCCTAAATTTATTTTGTACACTTTTATATACCATTTAAAGTAATATTTTATATCTCTTTGCTATTTTTCATAATAACTTTCTTTCTTTTTTAGGTACAAGGCTTTGGCCGACCAAGTGTATACCATGCTGCTATTGTCATCTTCCTTGAATTCTTTGCATGGGGCCTATTGACCACTCCAATGTTGACTGTAAGTATTGCTGAACTGGGTTCTTATTTATAAAAGTGTTCTTAGGCATACATCCCCAAGTCTATGTCTAGGTGTGTGTTTGGGAATAACTCTTAATGGTGATTTAAGAATTCTTATTTCATTAGGTTGTTTCTACTGTGTGGTTTGTGAACCATCTATGACAAAGCCACCTATTTAAATATTCCTGGGTAGCACTGCATTCCCACTGAATCAGAGCCTTGGAGGTGCTGTTATACAAATAAACTGTATATATTTAGGAATATCTTTAAGATATCCTATAGGAAATAATTGCAGAGCATTGTTGAAGTTTGTAACTTCTTTGTGGGGATGTTAATGGCCTTTGACTTAAGGACTTTACTAAAATAGGAAATTGATAGGTTATTTGTAGCAATAAAAGTAATGTAAGACTGTCCATATTTCCAGTTTTTTTTTTTTTTTTTTTTTTTGAGACAAAGTCTCACTCTGTTGCCCGGACTACAGTGCCATGGCGTCAGCCTAGGTCACAGCAACCTCAAACTCCTGAGCTCAAGCAATCCTACTGCCTCAGCCTCCCAAGTAGCTGGGATTACAGGGATGTGCCACCTTGCCCGACTAATTTTTTTCTATATATTTTTAGTTGTCCAGCTAATTTCTTTCTGTTTTTAGTAGAGACAATCTCTTGCTCAGGCTGGTCTTGAACTCCTGAACTCAAACAATCCACCCGCCTCGGCCTCTCAGAATGTTAGGATTATAGTCATGAGCCACCGCACCCGGCCTATATTTCCATTTTGATAGCTTATGTACAGCCATTGCTTCAGAGGTGGTTTTGAATTTCTTAGCAAGAACTTGAATGTTTGATATATGGTGTGGTTAGTGGGAAGAGAGATGCCAAAGAAAAGATTAGAGGGCAGATTTTAGGTGGCTTGTAACTTAATTTTAATAAAGATGTTTTAAATTGGCCTTAAGTTTCATTGGTCTCAAATTGTTCTTTTAAAATCATTGGTGGGCTGGATGCTGTGGTGCGTGCCTGTAGTCCTAGCTACTGGGGGGGGGGGGCGCTGAGGTGGGAGCCCAGGAGTTTGAGTCCAGCCTGGGAAATGTAGGCAGAACTCTGTCTCAATCAATCAATCAATCAATCAATCAACCAACCAACCAATCAATCAATAAAAATAAATAAATAATAAATTAATTCATTAAAAAAACCCAAACTCATTGGTGGTTAACTTACCAGAAAATCCCTTTGAGTAAAGATAATCTTTGCTCCTTAATTAGGCTTTGAAAATAGAGCACTTGAGTGTGGCTATTACCCAATTAGCCTTACATAAAACCTTGCTCTGGCCCTTTAAAGTTTTTAATCCATCTCACACATTTAAAATACAATTTGATTAATTACAATTATAATTTGGGTGGAACAGTAGACTTAAAAAATTGCCTGTATCTCTAATCCTTTTTTATTCTTATTGCATTGTGTTTTCCTTCATAGTGCTTTGCTGCAGTAGGTAATTAGTCATTAGTTAATGAGGATAGTTAGTCCCATTTTAAATTTCATAGGATCCTACCTTTCTTCACTATGTCCCTAGTGTCTGGTACTGCCTAGGACACAGTTGGTGCTTGATACAACTATTTTCTTTGAACAAGTACATGTGTTGCAGGTACTTATGTGTTCTCATGTGAATGTTTCTCTAAGACTCATTTTTAGTATGAATATAGACAAACCAGGCCACTTTTTAAAAAAAAATTGTGGTAAATAAAAGACACATAACAAATTTACTCTCTTAACCATTTTTGAAGTGTTCAGTTCTGTAGTGTCAAATGCATTCATCATGTTGTGCACCTGTCACTACCGTCCATCTTCAAAACCCTTCATCTTTTAAAAGTGAAACTTTGTTCCCATCCCCTCAAGCTTTGGCAGCTACCATTCTACTGTCTGATTTTGACACCTTTAAGTAGAGCCATACAATATTTGTCTTTTTGTTACTGGTGTATTCCACTTAGCATAATGTTCTTAAGATTCATCCACTTTGTAGCATGTGTCAGAATTTTTTTTTTTTATTTAAGGCTGAATAATATTCACTGCTATGAACATGAATGCATAAAAATCTATTCAAGTCCCGCTTTCAGTTCTTTTTGGATATTGTTTTGGGAAAAACCTGGGTTGGGATGGTATAGAAAAACTGTCCTCTGAGCTGAGATGGTGCTGAGAGATCAAAGAATGATTTGGACAAGTCCAGCTTGGCGAGTTAAATGAGTTTATTAGAGGTTACTTACAAAGGGTGTTCACTCCTGGGTGATAGAGGATTTCTCTGGGGATTAAAATCCGTACTGCCTGCCCATTGTGGAACCTTAAGTTTCTTTTTAGTGAATGATGTGGAGTCTTTCCCGACATCCCTGTATTTACACAGGCTAGACATACTAAGCATGTACAGTATATCCATCATGTGTCTTTATGTGGCTCATGTTATGTTAATGATACTATAATTTTCCCCTGGGCGGAGATTTTAGTAGTAAAATGAGCCAAAGGGTACTGTAGGACAGCAAAAGTGGTTACAAGCAGTTTCAACCGTTTTACAAGGCTGTGCTTACAGGTGCCCTCTCTTGGGCCTTGTGGTTTTTCTTGGTATTTTTAATGTTTATCTTAGGGCATTGCTTTTCTCTTAACCCTTGGATATCAACTATTCCTGGTGGGGAATGTCTTTTTTCCCCCTCAGATATGTATATACTCAGAAGTAGAATTGCTGGATCACAAGAGTAATTCCATTTTTATTTTTTTAAGTTATTTTAAATTTTTTATTTTTAATTATGGGTACATAATAGTTGTATATCTTTTTAGGGACATGGGAGGTTTTGATACAGGCATACATTGTGAATGAATCAAATGAGGGTAATTGGGGTATCTATCCCCTTAGTCATTTAACATTTCTTTATGCTAGGAACATTCCAATTCCACTCTTTTAGTTATTTTAAAGTATACTGTAATTTAGTATTGATTATAGTCACTTTGTTGTGCTATCCAATATTGTTCATTCTATCTATTATCTATTCTATCTATTATCTATCTAGCTAACTATATTTTTGCAACCATTAACCAGTCCCACTTTATCTTTCCCTCTCTACTATCCTTCCCAGCCTCTGGTTACTGTCGTTCTATTCTCTGTTTCCATGGGATCAATTTTTTTAATATTTAGCTTCCATGTATGAGTGAGAACATTCAAGATTTGTCTTTTTGTGCTTGGCTTATGTCAGTTAACATGCTGTTCTCCAGTTCCATCCATGTTGTTGCAAATGGCAGGATTTCATTCTTTTCTGTGGCTATATAATCCATTGTGCATATGTATCACAATTCTTAATTCATTTATCCGTTTATGGGCACTTATGTTGATTCCATGTCTTGATTATTATGAATAGTGCTGCAGTAAACATGAGAGTGCAGATATCTTTCAGTATACTGAATTCCCTTTTTTATGGATATATTCCCAGCAGTGGGATTGCTGGGTCAAATGGTAGTTCTATTTTTAGTTTTCTGAGGAACCTCCCTACTGTTTACCCTAGTGGTCACACTAATTTACATTCCCACTAACAGTATCTGAAAGTTCCCTTTTCTCCACATCCTTGCCAGCATTTGTTATTGCCTGTCTTTCTGACAAAAGCGATTTTAACTGGGGTGAGATGATATCTCATAGTTTTGATTTGCATTTCTATGATGATTGATGATGTTGAACGTTTTTTTCATACACCTATTGGTTTGGTCATTTGTGTGCTTTCTTTTGAGAAAGGTCTATTCGGATCCTCTGCCCATTTTTAATTAGATTATTTGATTTTTTCCTATAGAGCTAGAGCTCACTTTATATTCTAGTTATTAGTCCCCTTGTCAGATGGGTAGTTTTTAGATATTTTCTCCCATTTTGTGGCTTGTCTCTTCACTTTGTTGATTGTTCCTTTTGCTGTGTAGAAGCATTTTAGCTTGATATGATCCCATTTGTCTAATTTTGCTTTGGTTGCCCATGCTTTGAGGGTATTACTCAAGAAGTTCTTGCCCAGAACAATGTCCTGAAGTGTTTCTGCAATGTTTTCTTTTAGTAGTTCATAGTTTCAGGTCTCAGATTTAAGTCTTTAATCCATTTTGATTAGATGTATATGGAGAAATAAGGGATTAGTTTCATTCTTCTGCATATGGATATTCAGTTTTCCCAGCACCATTTATTGAAGAGACTGTCCCTTCCCCACTGTATGTTCTTGCCACCTTTGTCACAAATACGTTTGCTTTAGATGTGTGGATTTATTTCTGTGTTCTCTATTCTGTTCCATTGGTCTGTGTGTCTGTTTTATATCACTACAATGCTGTTTGGATTATTACAGCTCTGTTGTATAACTTAGTCAGATAATGTGATTCCTCCAGTTTTTTTTTTTTTTTTTTTTTTTTTGCTCAGGATGGCTTTGGCTATTCTGGGTCTTTTGTGGTTCCATATAAATTTTAGGATTATTTTTTCTGTTTCTGTGAAGAATGTCATTGGTATTTTGATGGGTATTGCATTGAATCTGTAGATTGTTTGGGCAATGTGGACATTTGAACAATATTGATTCTTCCAATCCATGAGCATGGACTGTCTTTCCATTTTATTGTGTCCTCTTCAACTTCATTTATCAATGTTTTATAGTTTTATTATAGAAGTCTTTCACTTCTTTGGTTAAGTTTATTCCTAGGTATTTTATTTGTAGCTATTGTAAATGGGATTGATTTTTTGGTTTCTTTTCAGACTGTTTACTGTTGGCATATAGTAATGCTACTGATTTTTGTATCCTGCAACTTTACTGAATATAAGTTCTGATAATTTTTTTGTGGAGTTTTTAGGTTTCTCTAGATATGAGATCATATTATCTGCAAACAAGGATAATTTGATTTCTTCCTTTCCAATTTGAATGCCCTTTATTTCTTTCTCTTGTCTGATTGCTCTAGCTAGAACTTCCAGTACTATGTTGAATAACAGTGGTGAAAGTGGACATCCTTGTCTTCTTGTTCCATA